CCTGCTGGGGAATGCAGGCAAATCAGAGCTGCTCCTTACCTCTCCCTTCTGGTGCCCGCTGTATCCTCTGTGGCAGTCACAGCATCAGGACAAAACCTGGCCCAAGACCGCCAGTTAGAAGAGAAGCATCTCCCAGAAACTCCGTTTGAAGCTGGACTCCAGGCTGTAACAGCTTTCAGATGGGACATGGGTTCTTCTCACTTTTGCTCACAGAAGTTACACTTACATACTGTGTGGGAGTGTGGACTCGTGAAACCCAATTGCTGCTGCTAAACATTGTGCTTTTCACAGAAAAGCTTTTCACAGAAATACCACAGGAAGTAATTATTACACTATCAGTGTGACCTTTCTTAAATTATCTTGGCCGCACACGTGCCAATCCCCTGCAGAGACACACCAGGCTTCAACCTCGTAACTGCGTTAATAAAATGTGTGTCCTAAGCCAAGAACTCACCCCATAAAAGCTTCTAGGTGCTCGCTGTCTCCTCGCAGGCCTTCAGCTGGGAGAGCTCAATGCAAACGTATGGGTGGGCTCCTAAATGATCTGCAGCCATCAGACCAGGGGCCCCAGGTGTCACACCAGTCATCCTTGCACATTAAAAATAAACTCTCAGCCCTGATATGCCAGCATTGCCCAAGACTCAGAAAAGCACAACTGACTCCAAAAAGCTTAACTTTTGCATCGGCTACGCTTGCAGTCTAGCGGAAACTTTGATTTTCATTTTCCATGTCTCAGTAGGTCAGAGAGATGACAAACTGAAGTTGAAAAACAAAGAAAAACCCACCATCACCAGCTTCCCCTTATTAATCTCACTTTCCCCATTGTTGTGTCTTTCCCCTTCCTGGAGGTTGGGCTTTTTTTTGTGGGATTCTTTTTCGTCAATAAAATAAACCTTCGGAATCCATCAGTCCCTACAGTATTAGTCTCCAGTGCTACCCTCCCCAAAAAAACACACCAAAATCCATATTACTTTTGGCAGCAGCTTGCTTCAGGAATTCCAACCAGTCAGCAAGGCATGACCTCTCATTCCTGGAACCATACGGCCTATCTTTGATCAAGTTGTGTGTTCTCACTTGTCCCACATTTGATCCCTTCCAAATAGTTCCTAGGTGTCTCTTCCTTCCTCCTACCCAACACACAAGTCTAGAACAAATCTCACGTGCCTCAAAACAAAAAAAGGCACAAACACACACACACACCCCCAATTTCAGGGAGATTTCCTCTTAAAAAAAAAAAGCTTGATGAAACCAGCCATGAACCTTCAAAGGCAGTTTCATACTGTGATTTAAAAAAAGGCAGGGGGTCTTCTCAAACTGGAGAGAGGAATATTGCCACATTTAAGCAAGACACACCACAGGTTGTGGCCTGTGAATTAAAAAACAAAGTTATCCCATAAACCTGGCAGCATCCAGCTCTGCATACAGTGATAAAGTTATACTTAGAGTCCTCTAAGCAGCTTTGGGAAACGAACATGTAATCGGGTAACACCACACCCTTCGCTGCAGCATCTTGTTTAGGACAGAAAACAGCAAGCAGAAAACACAGTGCAACGTGGTTCCTGCCTCCATGTCGTTAGAGAAGGCTGTGTGTTTCCAAATTAAACTAGGAAGTAAAGTCATGTGGAATACTGAACAGCCTAACCCCCTCTTTTGTCATGCATGTTCTATATGCACCGTTTATGTCTCCCCCTTCCCCCATCTTCATTGCTGGGAGGGCTCTTAAAATCCTCCTATCTTTTCTGCCTCATTGATTCACCATTTCTTTTCAAATCTCACTGAAAACAGCACTTTCCAGGCTAGTTTCTATGACTCCTAATTTCCTGCTCTCTCATCTATTACAGCCAGCTGGAAACAACTAGAAATCCACAGGTCCCAAGTCACTCAGGAAGAGAAATCTCATTGAAGCATTCCAGGCAGCCCACCTCTGTTCCTGATGGGTGCCAGCCACCACTCAGAGACAAGCGCCATTAAAGGTTTGGGACTTTTTTTTTTCCTCCTCCTTACACTAATCAGTTGCTATTTACCTCTGTGAAATCATGCAAGCTGCATTTGTACATTCAGTTACCATTATTCAGCGGAGTCCATTTTTATACAGAAAGTATGGACATCCTCTGGGTAGTCAGGATATTCTGCTTGGTACAAACTGGTCGAATCCTTGATATACTTTCCATCAGTGTTGTGTACGACAGTTCTTTAGTATTTATACTGGTTTGGCAGTTCAGCTAAATTCAAATAAGCCGTTTAAAATACTGGAAAAACCCCTCAGAGATGATCCTCTCTTGATGCTTTATGATCGCCATACAGAGTCTGTTGTCAGTGACTTAAAGCCTGGCTGTGTCGCGGGTACTTACACGAAAGTGCTGTCAGAGCGGGATCACGTTGCTGAAACGCAGCTTGACGAGCAGCCAGCAGAAGGCTGAGGTCAGGCTAGTTACCAGATCCCTCGGGGAAGAACACGTACAGCTTATTAAGGGCCCAATTGGGCATAAAAAGCCAACTGCAGTTCTTTTAGGAGCCAAGTGTCATCTCGCCCACTACAAAGATTCATTCACACCCAAACGCAGTACAGTCAATTCTTCACACGCACTCCGGTTAAGTCAGACTAGTACTGATCCCACACCTAGGCAATATGAACTCTCCTATTTCCTCCTTCCCTCTTCGTTAATAAAAGCAGAGCTTGGCATGTATTTAATTGTAAAATTAGCTTCGCATGAAGTAGGACTTAAGCGCTTCTTGCTTTGGGGGTGTTTGGGAAAGCAGAAAAGGTCTAAAGTTTGTTCTGTCCCAGCTCCATCACACCCAGTAACAGCTTTCCAGGTGTTCACTATTACAGTCTTCCTCCAGCTACTGCTAATTCACCACCTGCTTCCACTGCAGTGCATACCTGTAGCCCAATAACAGTATTTTCCAGGGAAAGTAAAAGTAACTAGAAGTCTTCTTCAGCAATAAAAATAAAATTACGCCTTCTCTTAGCCCTACCGCCTGGTATGCTTTAATGGTGTGAAATTTCCCCAAACCAGCCAAATCTGGTGTCTGCAAGCAACGGACCAAGGCTGTAGCCTTACCCTCTGCTCTGGCTGCAGGTGGCTGGCTGAAAAATTACTTTCTCCAGCTCTCTCGAGGGTCTCTTTCTGGAGGCTATAACCCCTCCAGACACACACGCACAGTCCTGTGAGACGCCCTCACAGACAACCTACCTAGAAGGCAGATCAGTAGCAGGGCCACCGCACAGCAACTCACAGTGGAGGCAAGCATGAAGGCCCGTATCCCTCCCTTCCAGCATCACGACACACAACTGGAGGATGGTACTTTTCCCAGAGCTTCAGAGTGGGGAGATAGGGGAAAAATTCCAAGTCTTCTTTTCTAAAACCCAGGACAAAATATTTATTCAAATAGTCTCTGGGACACGGAGATGGGAACCATATTCCAAGACTGTTTTAGTCAATCCAGGAGACTGTCACCTTAACACTGTCACTTCCTGACCATGTTCTGCAAGAAAAAGTCCATACACACACATTTGAGTAACAATGCCTCCAGTAAGTTGTCTTCTCTGCAAAGCCAGCTGAGGTGATCAGTCAGGAAGCTGATCATCTGACAGAACAGGGCTGTTTTATTAAAAAAAAAGGGAATGATAAATTTCAACAATATTCCAAAACCTGCCTCCTGTTAGCCTCTCCCTGCTCTCACAGAAGCCCATGGTAAACAACTAACTCTGGATTTCGGACCATCACAGGCACGTTCACACTGTTGAAGTTTAACAGCGTGAGGGTGAAGGAAACCTGGAGAAGTATTTACAGTTTCTCCGCCATGAATATTCTTCCAGCAGCAGAGCCTCTGCCCTCCAGCTGTGGCCTCGCAATCAAGAGTGACAGTTTACATTGCATGTCAGATGCAGCAAATGGACTTACTCAGAAAACTAGATCCTACGCGCACTAACATTAATTAATATTGCTAATTTCTTATGGTGCTTTGCTGAGAGAAAGACTACATATGAACAGACTGTTAACACATTATTTGAGCAGTTGAGTATTAAGGTACAAACTGCACATTAAAACCTAAGGCAAAATACTGATTGCCTTGGAATCTAACCTAAACCCGTCCCAAAGGGTTTTCAGTGAGTAGAAAGATGGTTTAATGGGAACATGACTCACTCCACATTTATGAATAGGCAATGAACTTGTGAATACCACATGGTATCACTTAGCAGAACACAAACACAACTGCAGTTAGTTACAGCACCACTCTCCATTTTAGGAAAAAATTAGGTGCTCCTAAGACATCCTCCAAAAGCCCAGAATACTTTGAGATTCACTAACAGACACTTAGGAAAGCAGGAATCTGCTTCTCAGGAAGCAATTCAAACAGATTCCTCTCAGAAGAGGCCTTAAGAGCAATATGATTTCTGAAGCAGGTGGAACACAACCTGAATAAGACTCTCTGGGGAAACACTAAGCAGCTCTGTTTAGGAAGCAACGCGTAAAGCTGAAGAGCTTTAGCTCTTTGGAGTACGCTACCACTGGAACGACTATTTCTGGAGGCAGTAATACTGAAGTACCAAGAAAATACTTTGCTTGTTGAGAGATCACATGAGATTCCTGTTGCACATAGCATAATTCTAGATGCTGCTAAATTAAATCAACTTTGCGTTAGAAATAGCAGTCTTTAATAAGAATACTACTCAAAGTATATCTGTCCTAAATAACGCACCATCCAGCAGTTCCTTAAAAGCATCTTGTCCTTTATCGATGACAAGTATTCTATAGAAATATTTATGCTTGAGCACATAAAAGGAGTCTCCACTGCTTTAGAAGCAGGTCGCTCTTAGCCTCTGCTCTTTTGCTCAGAAAGTGGCCGCCGTTCAGCGCCGTGCTTGTCTCGCTGATCAAGGCTAAATAGAAGGAATCCACAGTAAAGTGCCCGTTCTGAGAAAGTGTTCTGCGGTCTGTGGTGTTTAACTTCACCACCGTGGGGGTGTATTTGGAATTCCTAGCCTCTGCTCATTTGCTCAGAAAGTGGCCGCCGTTCAGCGCCGTGCTTGTCTCGCTGATCAAGAGCTAAATAGAGGAATCCACAGTAAAGTGCCCGTTCTGAGAAAGTGTTCTGCGGTCTGTGGTGTTTAACTTCACCACCGTGGGGGTGTATTTGGAATTCCTATAACAGACAAAGCAGAGGATCCTCCGGAAGGTGCTACGCATCTCGTTGTCCCTGTAAGAGTAGACAATAGCGTTTATCAACGAATTGATCTCTGCCAGCAAAAGGACGTATTTCTCCACCGCTAGAACATTGCAGCTCTTGCAGCCCAAGCCATCCAGGAGGAGCACAACTTGTCCTGGAGTCCAGCAGATGACAAAAGCACCTGGGGAGAGAAGAAGCCCTGTTAGAGAAGAAGCAGGTTCCTGGCCCTGCCCACTCACTCACCATAAAGATGCTCAGTAGAATCACTGGTGTTTTATCTTGTGGAAAAAAGTTAAATGGGGGGGAAAAACCCAAATAGTTTCACTCTATATTTTTGCTTTGGAGGAAGACCAAGGATTCAACCAGCAAATACTAGAAATGCAGGCATTGGCTCCCTCTTCCCCCCCCAACCCTTTCCCCCACGCCATTCACTCAGAACAACACTTCCAAGTACTTCCACTTACCTCCCCTCATCCCCATCATTGCATTTACAGAGTGAAGATAAAGCGTCCGTATTTCCTATTTACGTGCCACTCCCTCCAAAAGGGGGAAGAGGCCATAAAATGAGGGAAGAGTCAGAGTAACGCACCTTGAATGAAATAATCTCCACTGTCCATGCAGTTTACGGGGGCTTTACTTAACAGTACGAGTTTAGAAGAGTCCTGACCAACGCTTTGGGCAGTCCAAGGAAGTGTCTCTCACACAGCTATACGCTGAGTAGAAAACAGCCAAGCAATGGACTGGCCAACACCAGGACTGAGCTGGACGGACTCCCCCACTGATTCAGTCGGGCTGATACTATGTGCTTGCTGCCACCTGCAAAGCTCTTTGGCAAAAGGGTAATTGCTGTTTGCATGACGAAGTGGGAGGTGCCCGCAGCTCCGAAACCCCTTTTTATGGTCATGATTTTAAGGCTGACGTAAACAGAGCACTTGCCCATCAGTGCTCCTGGAGGTCATGCGTAAGGTTGTATCTTAAAGCACAGGAGCTGCACCCTGCTGTGTCTTCTGGGAAAGGGTGGAAGAAAACAGACTTACTGGGAACTCTGCAACTACACCCTTTACTGAAAGACATCCGTCAGGGAATAACAGCAGCCGGAGGAGCTGCACCAAAACCGGGAGGCTGAATGTAAAGCTGTCATTGAGGGAAATGCTGCACTGGTGAAAAGTCAGAGGAACACAGAGAAACACTCCTGCATTTCTGGGAGCGTTCCCTGCTGATTTCAGGCCACTACATCATGCAACCCTTTTTATTTAAGCAAATCGTGCTCCCAGAAGGTCAGCGCAGCAGCCACCACAGCTGGGCCAGGCAGTTTTCCCTGCACTTGCAGACACAGCTTTGCCCCCTTTAAATTTAGCAAATATACAAAATAGATTCCTGGCTGTCATGAAGGAAGGTCCAATACTTCTATCTTGAGTGAGCCTGCAGGAAAGGGGACCTCCTTGTTTCGTGACGCAACTTTTTTTAAGCCAGGTTTTCAGCATCCAACAAGGCAAGCCAGATTCTCTAGAGGCTGGCTTCCAGCAGCACAAAGTAAAGCCAGAGGAACATTAAAGATGAGAGGGGGAAAAAGCAAATAGAGCTACCTAAAAAGTTTTGGGCCTTTGCCTGCAAATCCAGCTGATTTCCTTGCTCCTTAATGGAAGCTAAAGTACTCAGAAAGAAGCCTGAACTCTTACTAGTCTAACACAGCGTGGTCACTAAGGACTCTGCCCTGTGGTTTGGTCGTTATGATATCCCTGCATCGCTCAACTGGTCTGTGGGAAAATTTGCTACTCGTTTCCAGATGTACCTCGGACTTACTGGTTTCCAGGTCAGCTCCCAGACCTGTTCCTAATGGCCAGGACCTGCAGGATTATCAACCGCAGCTACCTTGCCTTGCAATGAAGTGGCACACAGAGACAGCTCCTACCGCACCCTCGACTTCCTCGCATGCTCACCAGCAGCTACACCCTCTGATGCATAAGGCGCAAAGTATTCTTCTGTGCAGAGTCCAAGTTTGCAGAAGGCTGGGGAACGAGGGTGGAGGAGGAATTACACCAGGGCTTTCACAGGGAGGGGAAAAAACCCTCTGCAGTCTCAACTTTCTGTACGCTGAGTCCGAACGGAAAGGTATTTTCCCCAAGTTGAGCAATTCCCTCCCTTGTTCCCTTCTCTGCAAGGGACCTGTACAGAACTGACTGCTGCTTCTCTCCAACACTGCCCCGCAGAGGAAGGGAAAAACCCTTGGGCTACAAGAGTCCCAGAGGCCTGATGAATTCCTGAGTGCCTCAACTTTCCACATTAGGTTCCTCCCCTCTCTGTCCATCCTCAGACACCAGTCCCAATTCACTGTGAAACCACAGCAACTCTTCTGAGCTTCCTCGGACCCAAGCTTTTTCCTCACTCAAGGCAGAAGACAAAGGCAGGCAGGCCAAGCCAGGAGGGAGGACACCAAGAGCAAAGGGATCGCCCAAAACAAGGTGACGCACCAAGCATGAACTGTATTTTCCTTCTTGGCCAGCATCCCCATCCTGCTGACCCCTCTTCCAGTTGATATTGTGAAGTCCCATAAAATTAAGCAGTTCTGCTGACACCACGGGGTGACCCTCCAATACTGTTCGGGAAGGAAAGGGGGAACAAGACAACTTCTCTCCACTGTGGACTGTGCAAAACACAGGAAGTAAATCATTCTTCAGCCCCGCTGACCTTCTGTGCTGCATCTGATCAGCTCCGAGGCAGTAATGAACTCCCAGCTGCGCACAAGCAATGGAGCGATTGCGAGGCAGGGGAGAAGACGTCACAGGAAAGGCAGGAACAGGCAGAAAACTCTAGTTTCAGCGCTCACACGTTGCAACAAGACCCGGCAAGCCGGCATGCCCCCGAGCAGGGACACACCAAGCAGCCCAACAGCCCCCCCCACTGCTCCCACCCTGCTCCCCTCCCCTGCCAAGCCCACTCTGCCAGCAGGAGTTTGCAAGGGAGTAGTCTTTGTTTGCAGCTGCAAGGTTTCCCTGACGGAGCAAATTCTGCGCTTATCAGGAAAGATTTGCAAGCAAGGGGTTGTGACTGTAAGCCCAGAGTCAAGCTGCGTTGCGGAAGATCTGAGCGCGTTGATTTATTTCACTTTAAAGAAAGGTTGCTAGACCATTAAAGCATGAGACAAAAATGAGATTAAAGAAATCACGTAGTGATAGGCTGTTGAAAGCACAACGCATGCACCAGCCTCTGCTGTTAGATGTACGGCACTGCGCAGAACAGCACATATCCAAATAAGTATCAACCAACCATCAAGCACCAACCACTTCCAGTTACTGATCTGCTTCTATTTGCACTACAGACTGTGGATGCAGACAGACTGACAGGCAGTTAGCACTCTGCTGGAGATCCCCTGCTCATGGAGAGCAGCTCGAACTAAGAGTTGAGAGTTTCCAGGGATATATTTACCCAAGCAGATCGAGACCCGGTACTGAGCTGCTCACAAAAAAAATCTGAACAGAGTTCAGTGCTTTGTTCCAGTCAACAGTAAGGAATTTTGATGCAACTCCCTTATTCTTTCCCCATCACCTTGTAATATCTGCCCCAAGCCTCTCTCCATCCTTTAATAAAGGACGCACCAAGTGCTGCTTCTTGATTAAGGCCTGATTATAGCTCCTAATTCCATGCCACTCTTCTATGGAGGAAGCATACTAGAGTTAAGCACATAAAAGAGCCTCTTGTTTGCCCAAAGGACCTGCACTTACAGTAGTCAGAGATTACCAAGTCACATTACTAACAGTCCCTCTTGTCCCTGCTAACCAGAGGAGCAGCCATGTCAGAGGGGAAGAGATTCAGGAGCTTGCCCTCCCCTCTGTCTGCCAGGTTGCTCCCATTACAGCTCACACAATTCACACAGAGTCTTGAAACTGTCGAGTTCCTCAGCAGCCACACCGCGCCATCACCCCAGCAGCTTCAGAGACCAGGGAAGCAGAACATCACTTCTCAATCCTCCCCGTCGTCCCGCGCACATTCACCTCTCCAGCCCCGCACAACCCAAGATGGAGGATCAAAGCAACATTTAGATTGACCACAGCAAGTGGACTTACTTAGGATAATAGTGACCGTCTTGACAAGGCTGATCATGGTCTCCTTGTAGCGGGGGTGGAAGCTAGTGTGCTTCGACATCCGTGTCATCTTCCTTTTGACATAGATGAAGATGTGCGTGTACACAACCACCATGATCAGGAAGATGACCAGGTTGGAGATGGCCCAGAAGGTCAGGTAGCTCCGGCTGTAAAGCGGTGCCATGCTGGAGCACTTCTCCAGGGCACAGAGGCAGTGCCAGCCATAGGACGGGATGAGCCCCAGGAGCAGGGCCGTGACCCAAATACAGAAGATCAGGATCATCACACGCTGGTTGGACATTTTGCTGTGTAACTGCATAGTGAAAACAGTCTGGTGCCTTTCTACAGCGATTGCCAGCAGGTTCACCACAGAGGCTGTCAAGCTGGTGTCCAGCAGGCTCTGGCGGATGAACCAGGTCTTCAGGGAGAGCTCTGCTGTCCTGGGCCCCGTGTGGAACATCAGAAACATGTACGCGATGCCAGCAAAGAGGTCGGCAGCTGCCAAGTTCCCCAGCAAGTAGTAGATGGGGTAGTGGAAACGCCGGTTGATGATGATAGCGGTGATGACCAGTAGGTTGGTCAGGAGCACAATGACACTCACTGTCAGGCCCAGGGCAACCACCAGGACATCCTTCGTCCTCCAGTACGTGGTCAGCTCTTTGCGGCTGTTGTTGTAGAAGAATCCCACGGTCTCATTGTAAAAACAGTGCTTCATCGCTGCTGTCCTAAAGAGGGACGAGAGTGTCATTAGCGCTTGTGCCTGCGGCTGTTGTTGTAGAAGAATCCCACGGTCTCATTGTAAAAACAGTGCTTCATCGCTGCTGTCCTAAAGAGGGACGAGAGTGTCATTAGCTGCTTGTGCCTGCACACACACACACAACTATTACAAGCCGGGGAGATGCTGAGCATTACGATAATGCCTTTGACACAGACAGGCGGGGAGGAGCTTGAAACACACAACCAACCACATGAGCAACAGGAAATCTGCTTCTGTACTTGAGACAGAGCTACGCATCTCACAGGCCGAGTCCTTATCTGTCCTCAAAGCCATGTTGAGGATGCAGCAAAACCTTGAACATTCATGGGAGGAGATAAGGTTTGCCAGATCTGATAAGAGATTCTCCCCGTCCGGCCCACGCAGCTTCATGGGGATGACAGACAAAACTATTTTTGTTGTCCCAGATGTCCTACTTCAGAAATGTAAAAACAAAGCAGGAGCAAAGAAGGTTTATCAGTCAATCACTAAACAACGCTCTGATGAAGACTATGAGCCTCCGCAGCTGTTGCAGTCCCCAGGACTGCTGCTTCTGGTTCAGTGAACACACATATCTCATCTTTCCTGGGTAGTTTTATTGCTTAAAGGCTAATGTAATGCACAGCTGCTTCCGAACGCTGCTCTATGCACAGCGCTTGCCGAGCCTTCCAAAACAGGTGAGTACTTCCCAAACTCTGCCAAGAGGCAAAGAGCACACCGAGCTGGGCAGAAACAAACTCCTCAGCCCAGAAAAGTAAACTAGCAAGAAGTCAGCTCATACAACCACAGGGCTGCATCTCTGGAAGAGCTGGATCATCTGCAACCCCTGCAGCACCTCAAGGCTACGCAACAGTGTGTGGGTCAGCACCCAGAGTATCAACTGGTAAGTCACCTGTGCAGGAAGCAACTCCCTTCTCCCCTTCCAGCTCTGGAACAAGGCTGCAATTCAAAACTCATTGAACTCAGTGGAAAAACTTGATAGGAAAAGACGTTTAAGTCTCAAGGAGGACTTTCCACATTTCTTTGATGCAGTGGGCACTGCTGGGAGCAAGACCAGACAAGCCATTCGTCTGGATCATAACGCTAAGTCTTAATTTTGAAAGCCCATATACCTCTCTGGCAATTAGCTTCCTGTCCTGCAGACAGCCAAACGTGAAGCAGCGGGTTAAGCGATGTTTTACCTTACAGAGTCAGAATTTAAACCCGGTAATTGACGCTTGCGTTACTTGTCCATGAAAAAATGAAAACACACACAAAAAAATACAGCACCATGAACAAAGCCAAGGGATGAGAAGAAGCCCAATCATTACACCCCACAGCAGATGTTCGTGTTCCTTTCCTAACCAAGAGCTTGGAAATCTCAAGTCAGGGCTGGCTGCGGTCCCTGCTGGGATGGGCAAACCCAGTTTGGAGCCTCCTTCCTTGCGGCACTGAGGTGCTGAAAAATGACACAGTTTTTCCTTACCCTGGTGTGTTCTGCACATGAAGTCACTGGTTCTCCCTGTCCTCGCATGAGCTCAACAGTCATCCTCTTTTTAGAGAAAGCTTAACGCAGACCACGCAGCAAGAGTGCCATCCTCTTCAGACAGGGAGAAAACCCAAAGTGCCTGACTCACAGTTCACTTCAACCAGCCCCGAAACCAACACACAGCTCATTTAGTTGCATGTTCCTCCACTCTCTAGGCAGCAACCGCTCTGTTTTCCGGCACACTTCAGCAGGAGCTCTCGGCATAGCAGCAAGGGAGGCGAGATCATTGCAGGCAGGCCAGCTTGTTATCACCTGCACCGCACCCACCTCTGCTTGCACACATGCCGAGTTGTGCAAACAAGATGGCTGAGCCGGGAAACCCTATCATACCTGCAGCTGAACTTTTGATCTCCGCTGCCTAATGGGCTCTGTATCAGCCTGCTTTGGCATATGGCTGTCTTTACTGTGAGGCGAGAAAGCTATACGACCAAACTAATTCACTTTAAAGTCTGTGAATAGGGAACTATTATTTTTACAAAAATTGGTGGGGAAAAAAGGAAAAGGAGGCAGAGGAGGAATCAGCCTGCCCCATGGGATGGAGTCACGGGCTAGTGCTGTAACAAGTCCATCTTTCCTCTCTTTTCAGGTCATGGGATGTTTGTAGATCTCAAGGCGTAGAGCTGTTCAGGAGAGTCGCATGGGGGATGAAAGCAACCGAGTGGCTTCTGCAGAGATACCGTGTGGTGACTTGGCAGGTAACTGGGGAGAACTTTGGCTTGAACAGCGGAAAGCGATGGAAGAAGGAAGGGAGGAAAGCCTAGGAACAGGACAGACACAACCGCTGTGAATCACAGGCAGATGGATAACCACCTGCGTAGGGTGTATCTGGGGAGGCACCAGAGGCACCAAACCCAAGGCTAGGCCATTCTTATGCAAAACGGTTTCCTCTAAACATTTTTGAAAGCTTTAATCCCGAATCAAAAAGGAAATTGCTGCTGAAGTTAGTTAGGTAAGTCACTTCACCTTTTTAAGATTACACATGCGGATGCCCAGAAACTTGCCTGCGCACAGCATGGCACAAAGACAGCTCACGCTACGCTTTAATTTTTAAGAAACATTAAAATACTGCAGTGAAATAATGGGTTGATAGATCTAGGTCTTATTCTCAGTAATTTTTGAGCCGACACCAACACAAATTAAATCCAGATAAGACTAGCTTTAGTATTGCCACTAAATTACAGAGCCCAATCTTATTTTGTTGCAAATATTAGAGATTCCACAGCTATGACAGGCCCCATAAACTTCCTCGGTAAGACTGCACGCTCACTGGCAAATTGTGAACTTTTTTTCAAAGCATTACACAAGTACAGGTTCAATGGCATGTTTACGGGGGGAGGGGATTAGAGCTGTGTAGACCCACAAAAGAGCTGTGTTCTGCATGTATAATACTCAAATCTAGAGAAACAGTTCCTCAGCATGAATCCCAATGACAACATCCGAAATGCTTCTTTAGGCAAGACCCAGTTAGAGCGCAGGGAAAAGTTTGGGTTGCAAATCCCTCTGAAACATGCGTAGGCTACAAACTAAATCTGTGCAGTGCTGTGAACTGGGTGGGGTCCAGGAGGGACTGACAGGTTAATGCTTGTGACTGGCCCTAGGAGCTCGTGTGCCACTTCACCGCTACCCTGCAATTAGAAAACTGACCTTGGAGCTTGGCATCAAGGGCAGACAATGCCACAAATCAAAATTTAACAGGCAGCGCTGGGGGAAGAGAGACACCCTGCCCACAGCAGCAAGCAGACAGAAAGTCAGGCTGGTGCCATGATGCACAAAGGAGCTGGACGAGTCTATTGTTCAGTGTCCGAGCAACCCCCTTCCATGGCCTTACACTCCTCAGCAGGATCTTACAAGATTTTTTCCTTACCAGCATTGTTTACTCGGTAAAACAAGAGTCTAGTTACGTGCTGCAACAATTCAGCGGCCCCGTTCCTTGAGCAATACGCAAACACAGACTCTTCTCTAATCACGCTACCTCAAACTCTGCTCAAGTCTCTCCCCCTTAAAATCGAGTACAGCTTTTGCAGTTTGGTAAGAACCACCACACAAAGTGAGCGCAGAACGCGTCTTTTCTCCTCGCCAGCGTTATCTGTATGCATACGCCATCTCCCTTCTTACTCAGTTAATTACTGCCCCAGGTTCACGGTAAGTTCAGAGTCCTTTTACACAGAAAGTAAAGGTGTAAGTGTCCTCCCTTCTCCAATTCCTCTTGCTTGCAAAAGTGGAAAATGCTAGTCAGCTCCTCGAGCTCTGGGAAGACATTCAACACTTGTGAACAAACCGACAGCCAGCGTAGTGTGGAAGTGAACAGGGATGAATGGCTGAATTTATGCTCCTGCTAATAGCCACAATCAGTGTTGATCAAGACAGAACAATGAATCTATAAAGGCTCACAGGGACTCAAATCCAACCTGTTTTACCCATGTCCACTGCACACAGATTTACGTGGCCAAACATTCAAACCACTGCTATATTTAAGCCACAAACAGTACAAGCTTTTACTCCAGAGAATAGCATCCTTACCTGAAAGCACAACCACTGCATCCAAACCTGACATTTAGCATTGGTCTCCCCACCACAGGAAACCAGGGCAGCTATCCAGCAAGGAGATCCCCATCTCTGGAGGGCGGAGGTGCTTTCCAAGCAAGAAAAAATGCCAAGTGCCTTACAGGAAAGTTTCAGACAAGCATTACAGCCCCAGAGCCCATCACGGACCGCTCCGAAACACTGGCTCCTGGGAGGCAAGTTTGCAAGAGCTCCGATGAGCCCGTCCCTCCTTGGGTCCTCCCCTAGGCGGGTCCTTCTAGGAGACCAGGAGCTGTAACCCGAGTCCTTGCCGCCTCCGTGGAGGCCAAAGCCACTTTCCAAGCACCTCCGGTTCTGACTGGAACGAGTTAGCTCCGATCTGCCAACATCACCCTCATGGACCGTTCCTGCTGGCAAGGTGTTGCTCTGTGGGAACTGGCACCCTCTGGTCCCAACGCTCCCACCGCACCGGTTCGCCCCACGGTGAGGGTTCACTCGTGCTCACCTGCTGCCCCAGAGCCTTTGCCCCACCACAGGAGGAGAGCAGATCTTCTGAATGACCAGGTGTGATCCCATGATGGAGGAGCTGTCTTGCCTTGGCACCAGAAGGCTGTTTTCCTAGCCTACAGCTACAGCACCCACATCTCAAGCGGACTGTCAGGTCAGGATGCGGCCCCCTACATCCGCTACAGCAGCCACACTTGCCCAGTGCAACACAAGAAACCTTGAAATGGGTAAGAAGCAGGGAGAAGGAGATGTCGTGAGACACAAAGGGAACTGAGGCACAGGATTTCCCTGCTGTAACTTGGTAAAAGCGTGTGTCACTGCTAGAAAGAGAGCTCACATTTCTGATATGTCAGTCGAGCTAGTCCTTGACACATCCAAGATCCTCTTACCTGCTAAGTACTGTACAAAT